GGGCTGGCCCCCGTGACCCACAACGGCGGCTCTCAAGCTGCGAGTAACAAGGCCGGCCGGCCTTGGGTCGGCTGAGTCCATCTGTCCCAGCGGAGAGGCTGCGAGAGCGCCAGGCGCACCCGCGCCCTGTGTGCTCTGCTTGTGCCCGCGTCCTTGGCCTGGATTTCCCATCTCCCCATTGGGCGCCTGTGCCAGCTGGCGGCTGTGATGTACCCGGGGTTATTTTTCAGAGGGGAGGGGTCATGGAAACAGCCGGCCGGCCTTGGGTCGGCTGAGTCCATCTGTCCCAGCGGAGAGGCTGCGAGAGCGCCAGGCGCACCCGCGCCCTGTGTGCTCTGCTTGTGCCCGCGTCCTTGGCCTGGATTTCCCATCTCCCCATTGGGCGCCTGTGCCAGCTGGCGGCTGTGATGTACCCGGGGTTATTTTTCAGAGGGGAGGGGTCATGGAAACAGTGGATTGTTATTAATGCCCCTGGGCCTGGGTTTTTCTCTTCAGCTCTTCCAACACCCTCCCACTCCCATTCAAATGGAGAGGTCTAGGCATGCGGGTGTGCGCATGTGTGTGGAAGAGGGGAGGTGTGTGAGTGCACCCCCCTCTGCAGCCAACCCCCAGCCTCCACATGGTTGGGGTACTCGCATTCCCTACAGGCAGAGCTGTGCTCATGGGAGACAGAGTGGGAGGTGGTTTTAAATAAAACAATAGCTCCTCCTGCAGTTTGCTGCTAGGGAATTGGGCTACCGCTCGAGTTTCATTAAATGGCTGAATTATTCATCACGGCAGAGCACCAGCAATTCCTTGTAGGATTTTCCGTGGGGCACTTGGCACTGAGGCGCCCTCTAATTTTTTCCATCTGTGTGTAGAATAAGCTTTGTTATGTGCTTAGGTAACCCCCACACGAGTGGGTGTGGTTCACCGTCCCATGCTGGCTCCTAGGCCACTTACCGCGGGAGATGAGAACAAGGGAGCTCCGCAGCCTAAGCAGAGAGCCAGCCGGCTTCATAGCTCAAGCTGTAGAACAGGGGTGGGCGAAAGGGCCTCCACGGTCAGGATCTGGCCCGCCAAGTGGGTGGATCTGGCCCGTGGAGGCCCTGCTACTCCCCTGCCCCCAGGCCAATTAGGACCTGGGGGCAGGAAAGCGCACGAAGCCTCCTCTCGCCCTGCCAGGAGCATGTGGCGCTTTGAAGCGCCATGTGCTGCTCACAGGGCTGGGCGAGAGCAGAGGAGGCTTCCCGCACTCCCCTGCCCCCAGACCCTGCTTAGCCCGGGGGTGGGGGACCATGCCAAGCCTCTTCCAGGGCATGGGTGCCTAGGGGGACAAAGGGACTCCCCCAGACCAATCACGGTCTGGGAGTGGCGTAGCCCCGCCCCTTCCCATTTAGGCCCTGCCCCTTCCAAAATTTTTGAAGTGGCCCCTGGGCAGAAATGATTGCCCGCCCCTGCTGTAGAGGCTCCTACACTAAGCTCCAGAGAGCCCCCGGTTCAAATCCGCCCGGTGATGGTTACACTTAGAGGCTTGTGTGGACGGGCCCCACCAGTGGAGACGGGCCGGGGGTGTTCTGCTCATCAGCTGGGCGGCACTGGCACCTCTCCTGAGCGGGCTCAGCTCGCAGGGAACACTGCTCGGCACCACTGCTACGTCAGTGCAAAATCCCTCCCTGGCAAAGTCCAGCTATGGGAAGAGGGTCTGAGTTACAGGCCTGGGCAGAGACCAGGACGTGGCTCCAGGTCCATTAGGTTTGCAGCCTGCTTGAAAGGAGCAGTGTCATCCTCAAGCCATGTGCTTAACCGCAGGCTGGACCTCCCTGGTCGGACACCCACGGGACCTGAGCATCCTGAACTAGGGAGTTAGCCAGACCAGACCAGGAGGCTCCTCTCCCAGCCGTCGGCACCAGTCCTGACCACGGGGATCCGCTCCTGGCCCCGGCCAGGGCTGCGCTCCCTGCCACCAGCCCAGTAGGGGCTCCCAGCTGCCAGACTTGTTGCCGCTGGTTGGGGCTCCTAGCTGGGCTCTCTGGCCCAGCAATATCCATGGTCGTGTTGCCTGACCAGAGACTGCCAGATTCCAGTGGTTCCACCTGCACCTTCACCTCCATTCCTGAGACCTCCTGGCTTTGAAAAAGGAAGAGGAGTGTGAAATCCAGCCTGCTTGCCACTATGCCTGGTTTCCTCTTTGCATTGCTTGCAGATGGCCAATGAGATCCAGCCATTGTCAGTTTCCTTTCTGTTGGGATCTGTCCAGATTGCACAAAACAGGTGTTCTGTAATTTGGATGAAAATAGCAGTGAAGACATGAATCATACAATCATAGAACCACAGAGCTGGAAGAGACCTCAGGAGGTCATCAAGTCCAGCCCCCTGCACTAGGCAGGACCAATCCCAACTCAATCAACCTGGCCAGGGCTTTGTCAAGCCAAGACTTAAACACCTCTAGGGATGGAGACTCCACTACTTCCCTAGGGAACCCATCCCAGAGCTTCCCCACCCTCCTAAGGAAATAGTTTTTCCTAATATCCAACCTGGACCTCCCCCACTGCAACTTGAGACCATTGCTCCTTGTTCTGCCATCTGTCACTACTGAGAACAGCCTTTCTCCATCCTCTTTGGAGGAAGTTGAAGGCTGCTATCAAATCCCCCCTCACTCTTTGCTTCTGTAGACTAAACAGACCCAACTCCAACATGGCAAGGGGGCTGTTAATTCAAGTTAGTGGCTCAGAAGAACGCCCTCGGGTAGCCTGGGGTTGGACTCAGCCTGCCAAACTGAGTTGTGTCTGCACTGAAATGAAGAACACACTTTTTTTTTTCAGTGTAGACAAACCCTTCATCAGTTTCCTGGTCAGGTTTGCAGCCCTGTGTGTTATTTGCCTGTCTAACCATGGCAGGGGGGATGTTTGCTTAAACACAAGCATTTTCAGGAGAAAACAATTGAAAAACCAGCCCCAGGAGGATATTTCTGCTGACTGTCAGGTTTATAAAAGCTGCTTTTGTGTGTTTAATGTAGTTACTTTTGGGTTCACCAGATTTGCTGAAAGGACACGTTGTCTTCAGTAGGACTGCGACAGTAACAAAGATAGAGGAATATAGCCGAGCTGGTGCAGCGTAGGAGGGAGCTGCAGTAAGCAAACGAAGGCTGATTAAAAAAGCTGCATGACTGATTTATAATATTTATATATTTAACCAGCTTCAGCCCATTTCCCCCCCTCCCCCTGCTCTTGGGTTCTGCTGCTAATCTAACACAGGCAGGAGGTAGCTCCATTTCTCTTCTTCTAGTCTGACCCTCCCTCCAGGTATGGTTATTACTGCAACCTTTGGTCCAGACCCCACCCAGCCCTTGGTCCTCAGTTTTAATTATTTTCTATTTGCCTAGGAGCCCAATCAGGCCCCGGTCTTTGTGCAAGGTGCTGTACAAGCACAGCACGGAGAGACTGTAAGCTCCTTGGGGCAGGGGCTCCGTATAAGACGTTGGCAGCAGCTCTGCGATCCTCCTGTGACACTGTCTGGTTTCTCCCCCCCAGGACACTTCTACTGCATGCTGCACTATCCGACTGCCCGCAGCGTGGACGGGCCGGACAGCGAGCCCCGATCCGTGCCACAAGAGGTGAGTGGGACCCTGCCGTGCCCGCACCCCTGGGGACGTGCCCAGCGCTGGCAGCTGGGTAACACGGTCACACAACTGCCTGCTTTTTAACATCCCCCGTTCTAACCCTCTGCGTCTGGCCCCTGCTAGGACCTCTCCCAGCGCCCCCCCGTCTGCTCTCCCTCCGAGGCCGGCAGCCAGGGCTTGGCCACTGGGGCGGCGGAGCTGAGAGAGGAGAACCCAACCCCTTTCCCGAAGGAGCTGGCAGTGGCGCAGCCTGCAGAGCCGTGGGAGGGAGCTGTTCCAGCCGGAGAGGACACAGGCGCCGGCACGGCAGACATGCAGCAGCCTGCAGCCCAACCCCTCGCTGTGCTGGAGGATAACATGGGAAGGCCCGTCTCCTCCGGTGGGGCAGGCAGGGCCCAGCCTGGGGACGGCCTCGGCGTCTGGGCCCACAGCCAGTCTCCGCAAGAGCAACAGCGTCGCCGTGAACCTGGCACCGTGGGCGCAGCGCTGCCGCAACCCAGCCCAGAGCCTCGGCCTCTGGAAAAGGGGCCCCCGCTGCCAGACTTCGGGCAGGAGGAGGAGGAGACCAGGAAGAGGAAGAAAATCCAGCTGTCGCCCTTGGAAAAGCTCAAGCTGTCCACGCTCCGCCTGACCTTGGACTCGGAGACGCAGAGCCAGGGGGGCCCTGGGCAGCACCTGGCAGGTTCGGAGCCGCTGCAAAACGCTGCTCCGGCGAGAGCCCAGGTCAGCTGGGCTGAGCTTGAATGCAGCGAGGAAGAGGAAGGTAACTGCAGTTCTGAGTGTCTGGTGCAGCCGAATGCTCGGTTCTCCAGCCATGCTCTCCCTCCCCCCTCGCTCCCAGCAGACGCTGCCCCCCCAGAGCACCCCCATGACTTGCAGGGCAGAGAACTGCCGCGCTGGTGGCTGATCTCCTTGTCTGCAGCAATGTTGCATCAGACTGTAACCGCGGCCGGGAGGGTGGGTGAAGGTGCCTACTCCCCTAGCTAGCTGGGTCAGCCTGTGCGCTCTGAGCTGCTGTGCGCAATGCGGGGCAGTGACAGAGGACAGGCGCCCGGCTCACAAAACCCACCATCACGGTTGGGTCCAGCTGGCTGGCCCGACCCCAGACACAGGGCTGCGAGCGAGCCATGGAGAAGCCAGGCAGAATACACCCACAGCCAGCCACTTCCCCCTCCTGTGCTTGTGCAGCAGAGCTGTACGCTGGTTGCCAGCAGGCCTGCCTGGGCTAGTCCTGAATCTGCTTTTGTCTGCCCAGATGGAGAGGAGACCGAGACCGACAGCGATGGCGAAGAGGAGCAGAGCCAAGACCTCGGGTACTTCCGAGAGAATGTGAGTGTGATGAGTTTGAAGTCGATCGATGTGTTAATCCAGCACTGGAAGGGCTAGAGATGGAGATTCCACAACCCCCCTAAGCAATTGATTCCAGTGTTTACCCACCCTAGAACCATAGAGCTGGAAGAGACCTCAGAAGTCATCGAGTCCAGCCCCCTGCCCAAAGCAGGATCAATCCCAGCTCAATCATCCCAGCCAGGGCTTTGTCAAGCTGAGACTTAAAAACCTCTAGGGATGGAGATTCCACCCCCACTCTAGGGTACCCATCCCAGTGCTTCACCACCCTCCTAGGGAATAGTTTTCCCTAATATCCAACCTAGACCTCCCTCACTGTAACTTGAGACCAACCTAATGTCCAATCTAAACCTCCTTTGCTGCTTGTCCTATCCTCAGAGGCCAAGGAGAACAATTTGTCTCCTTCCTCCTTGTGACACCCTGCAAAGAGACGGGTGGGGCGGTTTGCCACCTGTGTACATTGTGGGCTACGCTACCTGTATGGCCCTCAGGATGTCACATGGGCCACAGCTGTGAGCGGCCTGGGCTGCAGTCCTGCAACAGACGAGCACTCACGGAGCTATGTGGGTGTGGCTGTGGGGCACAGAAGGCCCGTTCAGGGGGCCTATCTACACTACAAGGTTTAACTTGCAGTAAGTGGGTCCCAGAGTCTGTTTCACCTTCCCCCCATCCCTTTGCCTTCTGTCCTCACCTTGATGTAGCTGGCAAGCCACCTGGGGCAGAACCCAGCCTGTGGCTTGGCAGTGGAGGGGTGCATCAAGAACTATAAAGAATAATTGTAGTGGATTCAAGCAGTCCCAGGCCCTGCGGGCAGCCCTGGTCCCCTTCTGACCTTGGCTCTTGTGTTGAACTTCCAGTGTCTCCTGTCTGTGGGCGAAAAGGAAACGTATCCCACCTGGAAGAGAACGCTGACCCGCCGCGCCAAAGAGGCAGAGATGAAGAGGTTCTGCAAAGCCCAGGTAACGCTGGCAGGAAATGCAATTGGGCATCCTTCGTTTGCCATGTGTGAACTCCTGACGCATCTCGCTAGAGTTCCTTCCCCGCCCACTCTCGCCTTCTCTTGGGCGTGGATTCGGATGGGTACCAGATGGGCAGATGACCTCAACTGCAGGGGGTGAGGGAGGGGGGTTGCAAGCACTCTGGAGGCCAGGATTCAAATTCAAACGTATTGAAGAATTGGCCTGACATTAACAAGGTGACAAAGTGCGTCACGTAGGAAGGAAAAGTCAAACGCGCACAACTGCTACACGATGGGGAATAACCAGCCCCGGCGCGGCACAGCTGACGAGGTGGATCACCGAGTGACCGAGAATCAACGTGCTGCAGCCATGAGAGGAGCCTCGCTGGCATCCGGAGGCGTTGTCTCCTGAGCGCCACGCGGACGTGGGAGGGGACTGTCCTGCTGTGATTGGCACTGGGGGGGCCTCCGCTGGAGGCCCGGGTCCTGTTTGTGGGGTCCCGCTTTAGGGAAGAGGTGGACAAATTGGAGAGAGGCCAGAGGAGAGAAACAAAAAGGATGAAAGGCTCAGACAACCTCATTGCAGGGGGGGACCTTTAAAAAAAGGCACGTTCAGCCGCAGGGCTGCTGAGAGGGGAGGGGGGAGGAGCAGTCGCCCTGAGACCCGGCGGGCTCTGGCTCTGGCACTGGCAGCCGGAACCCTGAGCCCTTTAAATTGCCACTCCAGCCCCGGGCGGTGCTAAGGGCTGGCTGTGCTAGCCCCGCCTCTTCCACATGAGGCCCCTCCCCTTCTGGGGGATCTAGAGTTGAGCCTGCTCCTCCCCCATTGCCCAAAGTCTGTCGCCAGCCCTGTTTAGGCTTGAGAAAAGATGACTGAGACAGGATCTGATTTAGGGATGTTAAATTGCGTTTAATCAGCTGCTCGAATAGTCGATGGAATTTCCATTGACTACTCGATTAGTTGACGAGGGGGGAAACTGCAGCGCCACAGCGCGGTTAGCTCCTGGCCTTGGGAGCTAACCCCGCTGCATCTCTGCCTTTTAAATGTATTAATAGCTGCCAGGCTCTTCATATATTTACAAGGCCGAGGCGCAGTGGGGGGACCAGGCGCGAGCCAGGAATCGGCTGTCCCAGCTTGCTCCTGATACATTTTGAAAGCAGCAGCGCAGCATCTGGGACCAGGCACAAGACAGGAATCAGCTGATTCCCAGCTCCCGCCTAGTCCCCCTGCTACGCCGCTGCCTCCCCTGCTGCCTTCTGCGCAGACAGTGCTGAGGAGGGAACTGGATTGTAAGCCAGTTCCCCCCAGCACCGGCTCCTGCTCCCCCCCTTTGCTACCCCTCTCTGATAAAAGCAGCAAGGGGGGAGGGGAGGAAGCGACTAGTTGAGTCACTACTTGACTGCCTGGTAAGTTTATACTAGTCAACTAGTTGCTTACATCCCTAATCTGATAGCAGCCTTCTGAGCGGTGAAGCACGGGGAGGATTGTTTTCCATGTGCACGGAAGGGAGGACAAATCAAGTGCGTCATTGGCAGGAGATGTAGGTTATCTGTTAGGCCAACTTTCTAAGTCCGAGGGTAGCCGAGCTGTGAACAGGTTTCCAAGGGGGGGCTGTGGGAACCTTGTCCCTGGAAGTTTTTCCGAACCAGTTGGACAGACACCTGTCCGGATGAAATGCAGGGGCTGGCGTTGCTGGGCTCCTGCGCTCTGCTGCCAGCACTGGGGCTGCCTGGCTGCGAAGCTGGACAAATCCCTGCACCTGTTCGCGGCTTGCCTGTTCACGAATGGTGCAGAGGGTCGGTGGTGCTAATGCATTGATTAAAGGACCAAATCATTAATTCCCAGGCCAATTCCTAGGTGCTAAGGATTGGCCCTTGGCCTCTGTCCCCCTTGCCAGCAGCTGGAGAGGGGACCCTTCCCCGGAGGTCAGATTACTAGGAAAGGGAGACCAGACACCCAAATAACCTTTCTCCGGTGCATTCCAGTCCATCCAGAGGCGGCTGGAGGAGATTGAAGTGACGTTTCGGGAGCTGGAGAAGAAGGGGATCCAGCTGGAGAGATCGCTGCGCAGTGAAGGAGGTAGGGGGACCTTGAGGTAGCAGCGTCGGCAGACATGCACCACTAGGACACACTGCCAATAGGGACACTATCGTCACCCCAGCCCCATGGGTGTCACCGGACCTGTGACAGGTGGCTTGTCTCTGATGGCCTACCCAGCGTTCCCTGTATGCGGGGCACTTGTGCAGCTCTCAGGGGAGAGTCCAGTGCCACCAGCTGATTAGCAGAGCGCCCACAGCGAGGGTTTGTATTTCCACTGGTGGTGCACATTCACGCATCTCGGTGCATATAGAAACATTTATTCCACACATGATGGAAAAGATTAGCCATTCTCCCTTCCTGCCACCCAGGGGACCAGTCTGAGCTGAAAAGCCAGCGGATGAACCAGTTGCTCTCTCTGGTGCAGAAGAAGAACAGCCTGGTTTCCGAGGAGTCGGACCTCATGATCGCGTAAGTGTGTGTGTGTGTGTGTGTGTGTGTGTGTGTGTGTGTGTCCGCCCGCACAATCAGTGCCACTCAGTGCTCCTTCAGTCACCCCACCAGTGCGCCGAGCACTCCCTTCTCCTCCTCCTTCCCCACCACACGGCAGCAGCCTGCGATGTGCCTGTCCCAAACCATTGTCATGGGCCTGTGCCCCAGCGCTGGGAGCAACAGGCAAGGCCAGGGCTCCTACCTGCCAGCGATGGCCTCCCGCTCTGGCCAGATTCCAGACTGAACCGGACACGTTGGCCGACGTAGGCAGCTGGCCCCCTGCCAGCTTATGTCCCCCCCTGCTTGTGGGGGGGCATGAACTCCAGTACAACTCTGACCCTTTGCGCACCAGGCTGATACAGGCAGGGTGTGCCAAGCGCTTGTGGTATTGCCCAGCTGCGGCCACCCAAACGTCCTGCCAGCCCCCAGCTGGGAGTTACTGGTGTCCTTAAAGGCACAGAGCTGGGGCCAAGATTTCCTTCCATGCCTTGCTGCTGCACCTGTCCCGGCTCTGGGGTTTGACAGAGCTCTTGTTTTCTCCCCCTGCAGGGCCCAAGAGCTGAAGCTGGAGGAGCAGCAATGGCAGCTGGACCAGGAGCTGCGGCGATACATGAACATGGAAGGTACAAGGGAGCACGCCCCTGCTGGCCTGGGGTGTCCTTTTCCGGGTGGTCTGGTCATGCACAGGCACCTGGGGGAACGGAGGCAGGCTGTAGTGTCACTCCCGCCCGTGTCTCTCTGCAGCCACCACCTGTCCCCTTCCACAGCTGGAGCCTCAAGCCAGAGTTCTGGGCCAGCCTGCTCACTAATTTGGGGCGCTTCACTTTTTGGGGGGTCCAGCTCGATCCCTATGCCAGGTTCCCCATGTGCCTGGCAAAGCACTGAGCACCTGTGGAACTCCCCAGGACGGGGGGTGCTCAGCACCCCTACAAGGACCAGGCCCGAGCTCACTCGCTTGGGCACGCAGAATCAGCCACTCTGCAAAATGTAGGCCTGACTTCCCTGCTGTCAGCGGAGCCCAGAGCCTCCCACCCTCCCACTGGGCTCCTGGGCTGCTGGGCAGGGTTATCCCTTCAGGGAGATCGGTGTTTTGCACCCATGGGTGAACTGAACCTCAATCTGACCTACGGAGCATATGACCTATGAGGAGAGGCCGAGGGAGTTGGGTCTGTTTAGTCTGCAAAAGTGAAGAGTGAGGGGGGATTTGATAGCAGCCTTCAACTTCCTGAAGGGAGGTTCCAGAGAGGATGGAGAGAGGCTGTTCTCAGTAGTGACAGATGGCAGAACAAGGAACAATGGGCTCAAGTTGTGGTGGGAGAGGTCCAGGTTGGATATTAGGAAAAACTATTTCTCTAGGAGAGCGGTGAAGCACTGAAATGGGTTACCTAGGGAAGTGGTGGAGTTTCTATCCCTAGAGGTGTTTAAGTCTCGGCTTGACAAAGCCCTGGCTGGGTTGATTTAATTGGGATTGGTCCTGCCTAGAGCAGGGGGCTGGACTTGATGACCTTGTGAGGTCTCTTCAGCTCTATGGTTTTATGATTGTGTCCAGTTCTGGGCACCACATTTCAAGAAAGATGTGGAGAAATTGGAAAAGGTCCAGAGAAGAGCAACAAAAAGAGTAAAGGGCTAGAGAACATGAGCTATGAGAGAGGACTGAAAGAAATGGGCTTGTTTAGTTTGGAAAAGATAAATTTTCCTTTAATTGAGAGGGGACATGATAGTGTTTTTGAAGTATCTAAGAGGGTGTCACAAGGAGGAGGGAGAAAAATGATTCCGCAACCTCTGAGGATAGAACAAGAAGCAATGGGCTTAAACTGCAGCAAGGGAGGTTTAGGTTGGACATGAGGAAAAACTTCCTAACTGTCAGGGTGGTTAAACACAGGAATAAGTTGCCTAGTGGAATTGTGGAATCTCCATCTCTGGAGATATTTCAGAGCAGGTTAGATAGACACCTATCAGGGATGATCTAGATGGTGTTTGGTCCTGCCATGAAGGCAGGGGACTGGACTCAATGACCTCTTGAAGTCTCTTCCAGTCTTAGTGTTCTATGATTCTAACATAAGAGTGGCCAGACTGGGTCAGACTGAAGGTCCATCTAGCCCAGTATCCTGTCTTCCAACAGTAGCCAATGCCAGGTGTTCCAAAGGGATTTAATAGAACGGGGAAATGATCCATTCCCTACAGCCCACTTTCAGCCTCCTACAAAGAGAGCCATTGATGGACCTGCCCTCCATGAATGTATCTAGCCCTTGGTTTGAATCCTGTTAAAGTCCTGGTCTTCACAACATCCTCTGGCAAGGAGTTCCACAGGTTGTGCGCTGTGTTTTCATTCATTCTGTGGACGTGCTGGGCAGTTCCCGCAACAGCCTGACTGGGTATTGGGTCCAGCATCACCACAGGGAAGGAGGCAATTGTGCCAATGGGGAGGCTGTCTTGGCTCACACCTGGGCAGGGCCTCTTGGGTGGGAGAGCGAGTCAAACACCGCCTGTGTGCTGTGCTGGATGCCAGGCTGGTCCCTGTTCTTGCAGACACGCTGAAGATGCCTCAGGACCAGCGGGCGGAGAAGGAGATCCTGGGCCAGCTGCTGGAGGTGGTGAACAAGCGCAATGTGCTGATCCAGCTGCTGGAGGAGAAGCGCCTTACCGAGCTGAGCGAGGGTCTCCCGGGGACAGCGCACGGGTGTGCGGCCTAAGGAGCCGCCGCCCCGATGCCTGCCAGACCTTCCACAGGTGGGCCGTGCTCCCGTCCTGCTAGGCCAAGAGACTGCGGCTCTCCCCAGCAGCGGGCTCTGGCCACCATGGCGGAGGAAGGGGGGCATGTGCCTGACCGCAAACCACAGCCAAAGCCTCACTGAAGGGGCACAGATGCTGCCTGGACCGGCAGCCCCTCTTCCACCTGCTGAGTCAGAATGCAAGGACGAGCCTGGGGCTAGGCCCAGGCCGGCTTAGCAGTTTCCTCTCCCACGCCACGGCTCCCCAGAGCGAGGGGGTAGCGCTGGCTGTGCCTTAGCTTCTCTAGAGAACCAGGTCTGCACTGGGCTTGTAGCATGGTAGAAATGCCCAAGGCAGCTGTTGCCGTAACCCCGTTCCAGGAGGGAGCAGAGCGCCTGGAGTTTCAGGTTTACTCCAGCTGCCTTGCCGAGTGCGTCTCTCTCCACCGCTTTGGTTTTAGAGCTTTATCTGCACAATTAAGTTATTCAGGGCATGAGCTCTCAGGTTCCTTTGAAGCCCAGGTCTCAGGGAGTTGCTGGATTCTGTTCAGATCAATCCTGCCAGATGCTGCTC